ACTGCCCCACCGCCAACATAATCCCGAAGAAAATCATTGAGCTTCATTTTGGCCATTCCGGTGCTTCCCTCCAGCAGGATGTCCCTTACGGTGCTGCTCATGGTCCACTCTGGTCGTCGCGCCCTCTTCGCTCTTCTGCGGGTCGCAGCGGGTTGACCTGTGACACCCTCCGACTCCGGCATCGCTCTCCTCTGGCCATCTCCCTGCGGCACAGTAGACGCTTGGGTCTCCATACTGCCACCTTGCACTCTATTGTGCCCACCAGGCATTGTTTCTCCTTGTTTTCTTGGTTGGATCGTGTTAAAGCTGAATACTGACAAACAATGAAAAGGGAGAGGAATAAGAATGAAGGAAATTACGCACAGAAATTACTGGCACCCGCAACAAAAAAACCATCCACACAATGTGCGATGCACACCACATGCACGAGGACCACCACAAAGACGGCCCGTGGATACCATCCACCCAGCACAGTGTCGGAGAGAGCCAACAACAACGTGGTGGGCGCGGAGGGTTCGCCCACGCATTCCGCTCGCCACGGTCCCGCACACGTGTGGCACCGCCGTCACAGCACACACACTCGGCAAGAGGAAACGCGCGCATAAACCCTAGCACAAACACACACAGACACAAGTGGGAAGGGAATTTGGTGCAGCGACGGCCACACGCAAGAAACCCAAATCGTAAACTCCACAACGGCGATGCATCACGGTAAGTTCCCACACAACAAAAAATGCAGTTTGCACGCTTTATGGAAAATATCTGCGGTGTGCATGGCAAAAAAGAGCCGTGACGCTGCCTTTCATTTTGCATTCGCCATTCACGTATCACGTGGGAGCACGCAGCCACCACTCCTCCGTTCCGCTCCCCGTGCTGCTCGTGTCGCCTCACTTGAGGAAGTTGTCACCGCACATCCCCCTCACCGTGCATTGCGGAATACAAATCAACCACACGGCATGGGTGCGGTGCCGCCCCGCAAATAAATTCCAGGATCTTCCCCACCGCCTCGTGTGGCACAGACGGCAGTATCATTATGCCTGTGGAAGGCTTTTTTTCCAATCAAGAACGCGGTCCCACCACACGCCCATAAAAACGTTTGGTCCGTCGCACGCAAAGGAGCTGAGCGGGGGAACAGCAGGAAAGGCAACACCAGCAGCCATGAGCAGCTCGCACACGCCAACACACCGCTGCCCCGCATATCACCAAAAACAAAAATACCAAAGAAACTTGTCGCATCCCAAATACAAATCGCAGGTGCAGTTGCAGCTGACACTCCCACCTCCTGGGCGTGTGCGGCCCTCGCTGCTCGGCGCTCTAAGTGAAATCACCAAAAGCACCAATTCGGGAACATTCGACCACCGCCACAGCAGTCACGCTCCCCATTTCTCACAAAGGCGAAGGCTTGCAGTGGCGCAGCGGACGGCGGCATGCACAGTCGCAGAGTAATGGACTGCCGCGGGAATCACGCAACGGCGATGCGCCCCTCCTTTGGGAAACCCAACAAAAACATGTGTCGCGCAGTCCCCGTGAGCAACACACATTGAACCGTATTCAGCTCCACTACTGTGGCCATCCGCACACACAGCATGAGTGCGACAACGCAGGCAAGGAAACACGGAATAACACCACGCATCCCCCCAATAAAGGTCAGGCGGCGTCCGTGCTGCCTTCAACAATAATTCCACCCCACATCACCCTTCTGCATATCCGCAGCAAGAAGGCCCACACGGTGTGCACTACATTACAATTTCCTAAACAGCAAGCCGGATCATCAGAGCGCTGCCCTCTTCTCAATGTTGGGTAGAAGCTCTCTGATCCTTGTCGCCGGCAGCCTGCGGTCTTATGGAGTGGCATTGCGTTCCCGGCATATCTCTCCGTTTCCCTCGCCGTCGCGACGCCGCAAATGAAGTGATGTCCCACAAGTGATTTCGACCGTTCTGAAGAAAGTGACGTGTCAGACTCGCTGAAACTGTGTGCGTGTGCGTTATTACGGGCGAGCGATACAATGCTCTCGCACATCCATGTATTCCGATCCTGCGCAACGCTCCATTTGGCGGTGCTGAAAACGTTAGACACCGAACACGCACAAATCGCACAATGAATGCCTCTGGAGAACAAACTCCCCATTAACGTCGCCGCAGGCACCGTGACAACAAACAAAATCTAATTTCTGCGCGCCCTCCCGTAAGAAGGTGAAGACACACACGCTTGTCCCTTAGCTTCACTCCAACTCCTCAAAAGTTGACAGGTCTATGGCGGGAGGAATCACGCTACTCCTGCCTCGCTCCCTGTCACAAAGCATGGCATTGCGCATATCCAGTGCATCTGCATCACCCACATACGTCCCTTTGGGGCATTCGCCTCGGTAGTCACCAAGCACGCGCCGCTAGAAAGTGTACTCCCAGTCTATGCTGCTTCTCCTGAGCGACCTTGCTGCCTTGCCGCACAAACAAGTCCACAATTTACGCATTATGACTGCAGACACGTGCCAGTGGGGATCCCCGCCCTTTCCCTCAGCCTTGCCAAGTGCGTGCGCCATACAAATGCCGGTCATGGGGCAGACACACACAGGCGCCGATACCCGTGACAGTGCGTGAGATACTCGCCGCAGGTCTCCGCTCACTGATCCAGATTGACCACGCTGAAGCCCACGATTCCCGTGGGTTTGGAATCCCGATGGATCGTCGTGGTTCGTTGACTCCCATGGTGGAGGAGTCCCAAGCAAACAAGAACCAAAAGCCTGGACACTCTGTGGAGCCAAAAAGATAGAAAACACGGGCTGCGCGGGCACAGCTAAGCGCCATGGGAGAAACATCTCAGCTCATCCCATGGAGAACACTTCACCAACGTCATTGCAACATTGGCCTCTTGCTTCCTGGGTGCGTCACTTCTCTCCTCACTCCGTGCCAACCTCCGTCCAATTCCCCGCACAGCAGTACTACGCGTCACACTGCGCTGCCTCCGCACAATCACGCTTCGCGGCCAATCATCGTGACGCACCTCCAACTGCAGTCGCATCCAACCTCACAAGCCCTCGCACCCTCTTCCGCCCTCCTGTGTGTCGAGAGAAGACGCCTCTCTCGCGGTCTTCGCGTCCTCCCCAATAAAGCTCTGCAGTTGTGCCCAAACATCACCGGGTCCCTTGCCAAGAAGGAAACCGTGTGCGACGTGACCAATGTGTGCATACACAAATTTAAAACACGGTTTATAGGCTCTCTGGAGTGCCCTGCGTGCGCTCGCATGTACGATGGGAACACACACGGTGCGAGTCGGGCGAGATCGTCGTTCCACCTTGCATCTCCGCCAGGTGAGTCATTGGCGGCTCCATCCCGCTTCACGACAAGTCGAATAACAGTGCACAAGTAAGTGCGCTGTGCTCTGCATTCACATGTGGTTCCCCTTTTGGGTCCAGCGTCGTCAGGTGGTGGAAAGAGACGAGTCGCATTATCATTCTTCCATTTGCTGCTGCTGCCGCCTCATTTCCCGTAAAGAGCCACTGATCCCTTTCTCTTTGGCGATAAAGGGTCCTCACGCATGGGATGCATCCTGCCTCGTGTGGCATGAGGAACAGCAGAGAGTCCCCAACGTTGCCAATGCGGGATTGACCGTCCAGTGCGGTGAATACAACACGCTGGGTCCGTCGGAGGATCGTCGTGCACACTTCAGTCCGCCCGTGGCGAATACAATCCTCGGGCAGCCACACCTGTGCAGAACAGAACACCCTTTTGGAGAACGCCGAGCAGCTCCACCGACGTGTCGGAAAAACTCACAAAAAGAGGTCCGGTCAACCTGCGGCACATTACCGTGCAACTTTAATACCTTGACATCGAGAAGAGCGTTTCTACCTGAGAGCGTTCGCCCCATCATCATCACTGCTCAAATCATCTCACCAGGCAACAATGGCATCGCTCTCGTATTGCCCATGCCCGTTGACCTCCTCCACCCGCCGCATCACGTCCGTGTGAATGAAGTCTCGTCATGCACAGCGATGCGCCCTCTCGTTACAGATAAACACCAATATTTTATGGTCACCAAGGTAGCAGTTCAGTTCTCCCTCCATAGGCACACCTCATAGAGGACGTCCTTCTGTTCCCTTTGCCGAATCAACGCACCGCACCCCAGTGGATAAGTCCTGGTAGTTTCACCAAAAAATAAGTGCTCGATTCCCACAGCAGCGAATATTCTGTGTGATATGGAACGCACAATTTGTTGTGCTAGTGCACCGCACCGCCGGCCGCCTCGCAATGGTGCAAAGGTGTCATTGCCCCTGCCTGGGTGAGGCCTAAGCCCCACATTACACGCACACAGAGAAGCACACGGCGCATTTGAAAATATATTGATAATTTTTTCACGGCACATCTATGGGAAGGAGCACCACCCCCGTATGCATGTTGGCAAAGCAACAGCCCCACAACGGCGGCGCTAAAAAAACGCATCCAGAAACAGAGGAAAAAGAAGAAGAGTGTGGAACACCCACAAGAAATGATGGATAGCCCACTTAAAAGCGGCAGCAAAGAAAAGGAAAAAAGCAGCAGCAGTAGTGGTGGTGACCATCATTTCCTTTTTTCTTCCCTTCACTCGCTAATAACCCAAACACGTGGGGTTCAAAAGTCCTCTTCACACAAAATTGTGCGGCAGTTAGCCTCTCTCCAACCAGCCGCCTCAATACATCCAAAAGTGCACACAAGAAAACCACAA